CAGGACTGTGGGTGGCTGGACACTTTCAGAGCCTGGACAGAGCTGGTTGAGAGTGAAACATGTTAGCATCAGTGGTTCCAATGACACAGAGACAGAGGAACATATTCCAGCCGCAGCTGCTGTTGGAGGAAAAATGTTTTGTGGAAACAAATCACTGGGGCATCGTCACCGAGGAGGTTTTGCAAGGAATGCACAACTTTGTATTATAAGACAGAATTCTGTACATGCCTTCCCTGCCTACCTCTCTCCCAGACCCCTGTTTAATGCTGGTCTTCATTTAGACAGGGAGCAAGGGCCAGCAGGCTTCTGTTCTCACGATGCCCCAGAGAGGAAAGACCCGGACAGCACTAGGCTCTAATTGGGTTTGATTTGCTTCAGGAGGTTATAACAAGGCCTGGACACCATCATCTGGGACCCAGCGAGGTGAGGCATGTTATCTCCACCTTGGCCACCAAATTCCCAGATTGAGGGAGTAGGAGTGGGCCCTCAGAATGGAATGGTTAGGGTTCTTTTCTTGTCTTTCTTATTTGTTGGCTTGTTTATTTATCTTGCACAGATTTTATTGTTAGGTAGAGTTGGGGATCTGAGGATCATCTAGTGCAGTTGGAATACCAAGTAGCAGGCTGGGATACCTTTCTGAGGCCTCCAAGCACTGAGCTAGGCTCTTTGAGGCATTCAGGCGGGACCTTACATAAATCACCATTGACCACCATATTCTTATGTCTCTGTCCAGATGCCTGGGAAGTCCTGTAACTGCTCTAACCTTCTGGGAGTAAGTGCCAAATGAAGCAATGTATCAGGAGGCAAGAGGTGTGGGTTCTAGTGACTTTTCATTACTTACAAGCTACAAAGACTTGAGCAATTAACCACAAATCTCTGGATTTGCTCTGATCTGGAAGTGATGATACTTCACACATTCGGGGTTGGCCCATCTCTGATTATGAATGTCCCAACAAGAGGTGGGTTATCCTCTCTGTGGGAGTCAAGAAGAGGTATGGATGCAGGACAGCATTGGTCCTGCCTGCCTCTAGGCAGGAAGAGTGATGATTACATGGGAAAAATGGGTCACAGGGTAGGCTGTTCCCCAGAGGGTGATCGGTTCCCTTTAGGAGTCAAGTTTGTGTCTGTGGGGTCTGCGTGGTGTGCTCTGCACAGCCCCAAACCGTACCCGAATCACTTAGAATTGCCCAGCTCTTTTCAACTAAAGGACTCTCTGGGTGGCACAGATGGTTAATGTGCTCAACTGTTAACCAGAAGTTGCAGGTTCGAGTCTACCCCGAGGTGTCTTGGAAGAAACCCAAATCAAATCTATAGTGTCTGATTACTAGTGATCCTACAGGACAGTAAAACTGCTCCTTAGGGTTTCAGAGGCTGTAAATCTGTACCGGAGCAGACAGCCTCGTCTTCTGTGAATTTAGAATCCAAACTCCTAACCCACGGCACCATCAGGACTCCCTCCTTAGAAGAAAGACCTGCTGATTTACTTTTGAAAGTCAGTCGTTAAAATCCTCATGGAGCATAATTCTACTCTGACCCACATGGGCTCAACATGAATGGGAATCACCTCAACAGCAACCAATCAATGGTACTGGTTCAGAGTAAAAAAGAACATGGTGCATATTTACCTCACTCATGCCTCACTTTCTGAGGAAGCCCATTGTGCAAGTAAGAAAAGCGAGGCTCACAGAGATGAAATTACAGCTCTGGCTGGCCCAGCATGTAGAGCCAGGGTTGGAAGTCAGGCTTATTGTTGTTGTGAAGTGCCATCCAGTTGATTCCAACCCATAGTGACCTGTGTAGAGTTTCCAAGTAGCAGCTGGGGAGCTTGAACCACAGACCTTGCAGTTCAAACGACTTTGCAGTCTGACGCATTAGCCCACAGTGCTACACCAGGACTCCAGATGCCAGGCAGTCTGGTCTAAAAACTGCAGGCGTAACAGTGGTGATGTTGCTGCGGGTGCATTCGCAATGGGTGTCCCTGAGCTGTGCTGGGTGTGGGCTGCCTGCGAGACCTTGAGGTGTGTGCCCATGCCCGTCCCCTCCTCCCCAGGTGGAATGGCTGGGTGCCTGCTCTTGCTCCTGAGAGGAACTTACAGACTGAGCCAAACCACAGCTTGGGCCGCGGGGGTTTGATCTTCTCTCTGCTGAGATGAGAGAGGTCTAAGTGGCAGAGATTTATGGAGCCTGAGGGAGAAATACCCTTCCAGTGAGAAGCTCACATGAAAAGCGCCAGAGTAATAACTGAGGCGGCAAAGCGTGCCAATTATGCAACAATTAAAAGGTTTGACTATTGTTGCTTTCTCCTTTTATTCTCCTAGACACTCCTCCCCGCCTCTCCCCACCAACCCCCTCATCTGGCTGCCCCTGCAGGCTCCTCAGCAAGTGCTCTGGGGGCTAGAGGATAAAGAATGCTCTTTCCCCCTTTTTAAATTGGAGATCAAAAGTTGGAAGGAAATTTTATCCCTTAAGGGTGGGGAAGGAAGGGGTGTTACTGGGGTTGAAGCTTCAGAGGACAGGATTGGGAGAGAGTACAGGCAGGTCCCTAATGCAGTTTATTGGGCTCTAAATCACTGTATACATCATCTCATTTAATCCACCTGCCAACTGTGTAAGACCAGTAATGTTAGTGGTGTAGGAAACTGAGACTCAGAGAGACAAATGACTTGACCAAGGTCACATAGCTGATAGATCTGGCCTTACAGTCCAACCTTATCTCCACAGTGTAGCCTTGGCTTCCCCATCTGTAAAGTGGGCGCAGGCCCTGGGCTCTGTATGACAGAGCCAGGCATTCCCATAGATGAAAGATACAGTGGGCGCTGAGCGGCGAGACTGCTCTGTAATTAAGCCAGCACCAGCTGAGCCAAACGCCCTGTACAGCAATCCAGCAGCTAATTGAGAAAGAATTAGGCAGCGTGCCCCAAAAGTGAAGAAACAGCTGCTGGTTGGCTTTTTAGAGTTGCCAACCCACAACCAGTACGTGTGCCCCCTCCCCCATGCAATTTCCCAGCAAAGCTAACAGCCCCCACACTTCAGGCCAATAGCATTGGACTCCTTCCTATTCTAGGATGTCTGGAGAGAGAGGAGCAGCTATGGCCCTGGGACTTTGAAGGTATGACCATCCCTTACATCTGTGGTTATGTGCCGGGGAGTTGGAACTGTCCAACTCATAGCGACCCTGTACAGGGTTTCCAAGGCTGTAAATCTTTACAGAAGTACAAAGCCTCATCTTTCTCCTGCAAAACAGCTGGTAGTTTCGAACTGCTGACCTTAAGGTTCGCAGCCCGATTCATAACCACTATGCTACCAGAGCTCCCTTATATCTAGGGTCTCCTAAACACCTAGAACAAAGATGTTACTATTGTTAGATGCTGTTAAGTCAATTCCAACTCATAGTGACTCCATGTGACAGAACAGAACTGCTCCATAGAGTTTCCTAGGCTATAATCATTATGGGAGCTGGTCACCAGGTCCTTCTCCCAACCTTTTGGTTAACAGTTGAGTGGTCAACTGTTAACTGTACCACCACAGCATGGCTTGCACAATTCACATTTCACCAGAAGGCTGAGGAGAACAAGACTTTACACTAGGAACTGTCATGCATGTTTTCTCATCTGCTCTTTCCCAAGCCATGCCAACTCCCTGGACATCTGTCTTCTTGCATTTTGGCTGAGAGGGCTGGACTGTTCATTTTTAACCTCAGTATTTAAGAGAGCAAGAGAGGGTAGCAGAGAGTCCTAGGCACCCCAAGAGCAGGGAGAGTTTCCACCTTCCCTGACTCTGGGCTGGGGCCACTTTCTCCAGCACTCAGTTAGCTGAAGGCTGGGGAAGCTGAGAGAGTGAGTTCTTGCTGCCATTCTCTAGGGAATAACTAAGCCCCTGGGTATCCCGCCCACAGGAAAGAGGAGTGGAGCCCTGGCCTTGTCCTCCCCATTCCCTTTCCCTCCACAACCACAAATGCAGACAACTGTGGCCTCGTGGGACAGTCTTGGCCAAATGGTTTCCCCAGCATGTTGCTTCCTTGGGTCACAGCTTGTCTTCTAGCATTCTCTTGTTTGCTGCTTTGGATCCTTGAAAACCCCTCACCTCAGGAACAATGTACTGGTGTATTGGGGTACAAGACGTGGGAATGTGTGGGGTAGGCAGCAAGGGCTTGGGACAAGAGGAACTGTGACCATCCCCTCAACATCAAAAACCCATCCCCAAACTCAGTGTCTCAGATGTGGTGACTAGGGGTCCTCCTCCCAGCACTGCACCAGGTGGTCATGGCAGCCAGCTCCCTCGTGGGAGCCGAAGGACCCCAGCTGGCATGGCCACACTTGGGAGAGCCCAGCCAGTTGTTTGCTTAAGTGGGGCCCACTCAGCCCACTCTGCGGGGACTGGCAGGAATCCAGAGGAAATGATGGGAGGGTTTGGGCGCATTCTGACCTTTGCTGAATTCCAGGATGATGATGTGTGAATAATATGGCTTTTTAAGAGTCAACAGCTTGGGTGCTTTTTATAGTTCGGCTGGAGCGCTGAATGGGTCATCTCCCCATTAATCATTTGGCTAGTTAGATCAATTGGCAAGCAATCTGGCATTATTCCAAGGTATTACTCTCTCTTCTGTCAGCAGCCATCCTTAAACGGACGTCAAAACTGCCATCAAGTCAGTTCCAGCCCCACCCCCAGCCTTATAATCCCCAGGCTTAATATCCTGATTCCTTTAGCTTCTCCTTGCAGTTCCCACTTCTGTCCAAACTTTTCATGATTTTGGTGGTCTCTGCCAGCAGGGACCCCAAGTTCCCACTCCTTGATCTCCCAGAGGGCACATTCCACCCTCCTGAAGGAGGAAGGAATTCATTCTCAGGACATTCCGTGAAGGTGCCAGGAAAGGGCATGTGGGTGAGCAGGCTCACAGCCAGAGCCCAGCATCCCAGTCCTGTTACACCCACACCCTCACCCTGGGACTCCAGGCTCTTGTCACCAGGCAGGACAGAGCTCAACCACAACCCCATACTCACAGTGTCTCCAGATTGTGCAGCCCCTCAAAGCTGTGGGTCCCCAGATGCTGGATGTGGTTGTTATGAAGATGCCTGTGTGGGAAGGAAAGACACGTCAGAAGGGTGTCCACAGCACTGGAGTGCCCTGGATGGAAAAGCAGACTAGTGGCTTGAGTAGGAACGTGGAGGCAGCAGAATAGACGGAATGCCCCCAGTGGTCCAGCCCTTTGTCTCTAGGGGCAAACTGACAAGTCTGACTTCTGACTGTCAACACCTATAAAGCAAGCGGCACCATTAGACTTCCTACTCCAAACCAAACCCAACCCACTGCCATCGAGTCAATTTCCATTCATATCAACCCTATATAAGGTTTCCAAAACTGTAAATTTTGGTGAGCAGACAGCCTCCCTCATCTTTGTCCCGCAGAGAGACTGGTGAGTTTGAACCGCCGACCTTGAGGTTAACAGCCTAACCCACAGCACTGTATTGAAGGAAAAGATCAAAGCAAGCTTCCATTGAGCTCTAGGAAAAAGGCCTGATGTCAGAGGGGCTCAAGTCCGAGGCTTCTCCTACAACCCTGCTCCCCAGGACACAACCTGCCTGACTCACTGGCCAGACGTGCTTATAGGAGCCAACAGTAAACCGCTACAGACAACATATAATTAAAGCCCAAGATTTATGTTATAGCTTAGAAAATAGAGAGGGGAGGCAGGAAAGGTTCTGTGGAGTAAAGAGTCTAGAGCAGGGCCATCTACAGAGGGAAGGGCATCCCAGGCCTTGCCACAGTGAGAACAAAGGTGGGGAGGTGGGCTGAACACAGAGGGCCTATGCAGGATGGTAAAGGGCTCAGCTAGAGGAGGTAGGGGTGGGGAGATAGAGGATCAGTTTGGGAGAGATTTCCAAGTAAGAGTGAAGTGAAAATAAAGTGACAGATTTTTCTTTGCCCATTTCCTAACGAAATAAGAAAATTAATAAATAAAACAGCTAAAAACTAGATCCCACCCCAGTCCAAATAGCACAAGTAGTCACAGAACAAGAAAAAGGACATAGACTAATATAATATTCTGCAAAAACTGGTAGCTAAGAAAAAATTCTGGGACTTCTAATCCAACATTTCTCTCTGGAAGCTGAACTGGCAAGAAAACAAAATCACGAGAACTCTCCCTAAAACTTTCAAATCTGTGGGCATTACTATTATTTATTATTATTATATCTCTGGCTGTCAAAAAGAACAGGTGAAATGGGAACTTAAAATGAAGGCTCCAGGCTACTCACTGAATCGGAGAAGCATTTGAAGACCAAGTTGGCAACTCCCCAACAAGATGGAGTGAACTCAAATTTAACATTTTTCAGCAGGAGAACTAAGCCCAGGTAGTCTCTAGCAAATACTAGATTTTTCCTCAGAGGCATATGCCTGCTACTCTTACTGCTCCATCAGGCTATATAAAAGTAGGTGGAACCTAATTTTCCCACAAACCACAGAGTGGAGGGGAGAACAAACTTGTACCATCTAGAACAACTTGTTAGAGCCATTCAATCACAAGCCAGGGGGGGAAATATGCAATTCTGCAAACATAAAATGGGGGTTCAGAGAGAACAGCGAAGAGACTGTGTGATGCTCCATGCCTAGTAGAAAATAAAACTAATGAATGAGCAATGGAAGGAAATGTATTATAATTGCCTCCTGCTTTAAAACAATCTAATAAAACAATCATTTAAAAATGAAAGCAACTAAGAAAACAAATTAGGGACTAAAACTATACTATTAAAAAAACACACACAAAAAACTAGTCAGAGTAGGCACTGCTGAAAATGGACTTGATATCAAGGAGAAAGCTTCAGATAATCATGGTGAATGTGGCTGAATAAGACAAAAAGATTAAAGTAGATGCAGAAGACATAAAGAGGATTCAATACAAGAGTGATGTTTCTAAAGAAAAGAATCCAAAAACAAGACAGAAGATATATTCAAAGGCATAAAAAAAAATTCTTTAAAATGAAGTAAGAATGTAATCTGTAGCTCAAAAGCATTGTTTTAGGAAAATGCAGAACATTTTATACTGGGACATGCTCTGCTTAAACTATTGAAGTTTAAGGATCAAAAAATATATATATGTATATTCAGGCAAAAAAAAAAAAGGAAACTATTTATAAGATAAAAATATTCAGGCAGGACTCCAAAATTAATCAGGCAGACATTGACTAACATAGATGGGTAGGGTTGGGATTCTTGGGATTAACACTCCTATCTGTTTTCCTATCCTTGTCCACCTGCCTATCAAGGCCCAACAGGAGAGACAGACCCCTGCCCTCAGAGAGCTTCTGATCTGATAGAGAAAACAGTCCCTGCATCCCAGGAATAATCTAGCTACTCTTGTTATTGTTAACTACTGTCAAGTTTGCCCCCAATTCATGAGGACCACATGCACAATGTAACAAAACACTGCCTAGCCCTGTGCCATCCCCATGATTGGTTGCGGCTAGGACTGCTGTGATTGGTCAGGTGGCCACTGGCTGATTTTCAGAGGTAAGTCCCAGGCCTTTCTTTTTAGTCCATGTTAGTCTAGCATCATAGCACAGGCCTCTGCTGACAGACAGTGGCGGCTTCCTATGAAGTGAACTGACTGGTGTCTCATATGGAAGGTGAGAATTCTTCCACTGAACCACCACTGCCCTCATTGCTCCCCTTAACAGGATGTTTTCTTTTTCCCATTTCTTTCACACTTATATCTCAATTGACCCCAAACTCTATTATTTCTCCTGCTTCCTGTTAAACTTCTATCTCCATTTTCTACTCCCCTAGAACTGACTCCACAGCACTTCATAACAACAGTATCCCTCCCCCACTATCTGTGAACTAGACCATCCCAGTTTTCTAAACATCTCCAGCTCCAGACCTCTGATTCTCTCCTCCAAACAGCCCAGGTACCCTGGACACCTAGTAGCTCAACCTGGAAAAAGGTGTTGAGCTTACAGTCTAGATGAAGTGACAAGATTTATGCATGTGAAACCACTTCTGTCCAATGAAATGCTACCTTGTGGTCCTGTCAGAGATACAGTAGCAGTGGGAAGGGGCTCCAAGATGTCAGAGCAGGGTTTGTGTTAAAGCGAAGCCCCTTCTCCTCCACCCCACCTGGCTGTATACACCTCTAGGCAGGCCTCTGTCCATACCCTTGGGTTTCAACAAAGTTCTTTCTTGTTTCCTTTCCATTCATGCTCAGTGTTCCATGTCTATGTCCTGGGCCTACTTAAAGCTCATCCTCTAGTCCCTAGACAGCTTTCTCCAGGCCCTTCTCCCCCGTCACAAGTTATCACCTACTAGAAGCACCTCTTTCCTCTTGAAGACAAGTGAAGAACAAAGGGATCCCACTCCTTTCCTGGGCACCAATTTTCCTCCTTCAGCTTTGCTCTTGCACCCACCAGGTTTTCTTCATAAATCCCTTGCCCCCACTTATGCTCACTTGCACGCCTCACCTCTCACGGACCTGCAGCAAGCCAGTTCTCTGCTCTTACCCAAACCTGGAGTCACCCTGGACTTCCCTTCTCCTTTGTATTCCTTTTTCTGGAAACCTCTAAATATGATCAGTTCTTCCTTCCAAATGTCCCTCACAGCTCTGCCTTCCATGCCTTCACCATACTAGACTTTGGTGTGCAAAGTCCCTTAATTCTTGGCTCTCCTGTCTACGGCCTCTCTCTGTTCTCATCTGTCCTACAAATTACTAGCCTTCTTAAAACACTCCTTCTTCTCCTGCTTTAAAACCATCAAGCTCCCCAGCAAACAAAAGTCACACTCCTTGCCCTGATGCTGCAAGTCCCCAAACTCATCTTTCCAGACTCTGCTTCTCCCATACTACACAAGAGGACTCTGCTCCAACTGGACTGAACTATTCATTGATGACCAAACACCCCTGGATTCCTTCTTAATGTCCTTATTGATACCTGCTTGGAATAGTCTCACTTTCCTCTTCTCTTGTCCAACTCTTTACCATCTTTCCTGTCCCTGGACCTACTCCATGCAGCCTTCCCTATCACCTTGCCCACAGTTGCTTTAGCTCCTCAGAACTGCTATGTTATTGTTCATCTGTACTTGTTACCGTCTATCTTAGTGTAAGTTACATCATTAGCTATCTTTTCCATTATTTATCCTGCTAGCTCAACTAGATGGTCAGCCCAGTGAGGGTAATGCCTACTTCTTTTATTTCTTTAGGTCTTCAGTACTTTCACATACAGACTCAATCAATGTTGCTGCTGCTCATTTGTCTGGGGTCCCAATGTGAAACTCTCAGTCTTTCTAATAGACTGTCTCCATTCTCTGAGACTTGATCTCATTCTCTCATGTAGTCCCAGCAGCAACACCTAAGCTGGAAGCAACCATCTTGCTCTGTTTACCTGCTACAAATACACCATGGACTCCCAGGGAGGCCTCAGGTATGAACATCTGGGTAGAATCCAGAAGGGCCTTCATCTTGGCTTTCCAGTCTCCCAAGACAAAGAATTAGACAAATTGATATCTGCCTTTCCATCTTTCAAATGGAACTAAGCATCATCCTGACTTGGAAAATCACACCAGAGCAGTCACGAACACACATGTTCCTGAACCATGTTCCTGCAGCAATTAGTGTGTAACCCCAAGTAATTACACATGACCTTCAGAGCCCTTAGTAATTACCCTATGAACTTACCGATCACTTGTGGCAATTAGCTGGGAGCTAATTTGCACTCTAAAGTTCTCATTGGAAAAGCAGAATTCACCCCAGTCCCCAATTCCTGCCAGGGATACTATCTTCCAGGTAATTATCCTGACTGGGCTTTGCCATGTAATTACAAGTGATGGCTTTTCTCCACTTCTTCAGGTCTGGGGAATGAGATTAATTTACTCCATCTCTATGCCAAAGCATAAGACTGTATAATGTGACTCTCAAATATAATGGAAAAGTTTTGGAGGTGGGGAAAGGATAAGAAATTATTAACATAGCCAATTAGCATTGCAAAGTTATTTTATTTTCATAGCAAACAATAATAGCTTAATTTCTATTGTCTGGTTATGATACTCTTGCCATTTAGTTAATCTTAGCTCACTTCTATGGCTCTGCAAGGTTGGCGGTTCAAGCTCACCAGCTGCTCCTCAGAAACCCTGCACAGGTTCGCTATGGGTTGGAACCGACTTGATGGCACTTCACAACAACAACAACAACAATGTCATCTGGCTTCATGATAACCCTATGGAGTCAGCAAGAGATGAGCATCCTTGTTTTACTAAAGGGAAACTGAGGCCACAAGTTTAGGAAGGCACAAATATGAATAAAGCTAGCTGAGTTTCCAACCCAACTCTGAAGTACACATGCAGCTCCCAAAAGGGCCGGCTGGGGCTGTGGGGCAGAGCAGCACTCACAGTACCACAAGGCTGGTGAGGTTCTGGAAGGCGTAGTCTGGGATGTGGCTGATGTGGTTGAGGGCCAGGGTCATGGCTTGCAGGGCAGGGAGGTTGTTGAGGGCTCTGATGGGGATCTCGGTGAGCGCATTGTCATCCAGCCATAGGTGGCGGAGGGAAGACAGCCCCTCAAAGCTCCTCTCTGGAACCAAGGAGATGAGGTTGGCATCTAGGCGCCTGGTGGAAGAGAGGAGGGAGAGGGATCAATGAAGGGCAAGATGCAGGCTAAGCGTGGGGCTTCACAGTTCTGGGACCAAAGCTGCTTCATTTATCCTGTATCCTGTGTGTTCAATTTCACACTCAACTTCCTGCAATCCTTCCATCTTGGTCCTTTATGTCATATTTTCCTACTTATGACCTCAGCCCTTCCTCTTAGACTTGAGGTTGAGTCCCTCTTTGGATAAGCAGGTAAGCAGTATCTATGCCATAAGTTCCCTGCTTTAGGTTTGACATTATTCTATCCAACCCCGCCTACTTCAAAGCTATACAATGGATGTGTTTCACCACTGACTCCTCCCTCTAGACTTAGCCAAATAGAGTGCTGCCCCCAGAGATGCAAACCACTCTCTGCCAAACTTCAGGGGAGTACCCTGGTACCCAGTATTCCCCTAAAGGACTCAGCAGTTTGATGGGCTTCTTGTTCAGTTAATGTGCCTATGTGGTACAGCTGAAGTCCTTGGCATGCTACTTCTCAGTACAGGTAAAGAGATGATGAATGTTCTTGACTGTATACAACCAGAGACCTTAGTAACACAAAAACTTCTATCATGACTCTTAGCAGCTCTTGGCAGTCCAGCAGAACAAGGAGACTGCCCATCATAACTTTTTACAGGTGTGCCCAAGCCATGAAGTCCTTTCAGTATGCTACCATTTTCTGCCTCCTATTTGGAGTCCTGGTGTGGTGCTGTGGGTTAATGCACCAGACTGCAAAGTCATTTGAACTGCAAGGTCGGCAGTTCAAGCTCACCAGCTACTCCTCAGAAACCCTATACAGAGTTGCTATGGCTCAGAATCGACTGGACGGCACTTGACAACAACAATTCTGGAACTTGGGTTGTAGGTTCATCATCCTGTGCAACTGGTCCAGGGGCCCTGACAAGGTGGCCAGTGGCCATGCGTCTACACCTGAGCTTCACATTCTGGAGGGAGGCTTTGCAATGAGCCATGGCTCTCAGAAACATGGCACCTAAGCTTTGGAAACCCCAGTCCTCATCCAAAAAGACCGCAAGTTCCATAATCCTAAACCCAAAGGAAAGTTAACGAGACCAGGGCTGGGAGTAGAGGAGAGCACTGTGACTGTCATTCACCCAATCATTCATTCAAATAGCACAGATCCTGGTATGGCACTGCAGTTAATGTGCTAGACTGCAGGGTTTGTTTGAACAGCAAGGTCGGTGGTTCAAGCTCACCAGGTGCTCCTCGGAAACCCTATACAGGGTCACTATGAGTTGGAACCGACTCGAAGGCATTTAACAACGACAACTTGTAGATAGTCCAACAATGCTTCTTTCCTAAGTCATATTACCAGTGTCCTCACTGCCAAAAGTCTCAGGGACCCCTGAGAACATCCTCAACTCACTGACAAGGGGCTCTGGGTAAGTGAGAACAAACTGATGGAGACATCTCTTGGAATCTGTAATTAAAAAAGACCTCCCACACATATCAAACCTGACCTGGTGGGTCAGCACCCTTCAGTTGGTGCCCTCTGTGGACAAGGCTTGTCATCTCAGACATGGTTCCCTAATCTTCCAGAACCTAGAAGATGGTAACTATCCACACAGGAAACCAAAATGCTGTCTGGCCTACAGTGGCCTCTGTGACTTTTGCGCCACCAGACACCTCAGCTGGTCATAGGCATGATGTTCTTATGTCATTCCCTTTCACCCTCTTTTCACCTGACCCAGAGAAGGCAGAGCTGCCCTGCCTGGGTCCTGGCTTGGAAGCCATATGCCTGAATTGGTGAAGCAGAGCCCTGAATGAATGAGCCTCCTGTTGGAATCTCACCTCTTTGTGCAGGTTGAGCGCCCATTTAACGAGAGCATGACTACTGTGTTTTAAGAGCATTATATGTATCAGCTCATTTAATTGTCACAATAACCTGTAAGGGTGACGCCTTTCAAATGATAAAAATGAGATACCGCAAGGTTAAATTAACTTATTCAATGTCATATATTTAATAAATGGCAGAGCTGGGATTCAAACTCAGATTGTCTGGCTTTAAAGCATACATCCTTAACCATTAATCTATATCACAGTCATGATGTTGATGTGCCTTGCAATTGCTACACCAACCTGGAATGCTTTCAGAATATTCTACTCTACCCCATCAGCAGCCTCTGACACTCACACACCTACCTGGGCACTCTAATTAGCAGAACTGGGGCTACATTTTCCAGCTTGACCCACCCTGGCCTCATCATCCCACCCCACTGGGGCATCAGAGCATGAGTTGGAACTGACTTGACAGCAGTGGGGTTTATGTGGCCCATAGACCATTGTCTCAGCATCACCTGGGAGCTTGTTAGAAATACAGCATCTTAAATATCATCCCAGACCTGCTGAATGTGAATCTGAGTTTTAGCTTGCGCCCCAGGTGATTCATGGTTTCATAAGTAGATTAATGTTTCTGAGGACTTAGTCAGATCTGGTCTTTTAGAATCTTGGATACCCTGGCCTAATGGAAGGAAGCCTGGATAAGGAGATAAAGGACCATCTCCTCTTGTGGTTAGGGTGCAGATGGCTCTGGGACACCTTGTTCTTAGGTGTGATCACCAATTTTACCAGGTTCAGGACTCCACCTCATCCTCCTGAATGTACTACAAAATGAGTGAATGAATGCCCTCCAAATCTTTGCCTCTAAGTCCCAAATTGAGAGCCTGACCAAGCATACAAGCGAGCTAGAGAAGACCTGCCAAGGCAGCCCCTTCTCCTAGCTTTCTTACTCCAACAGCCTATCCTACATGGCGAGGGCTCTCACACTCACCTCTTCCCCCATCCATAGATGCCTACCCAGCAGATGCATAGATTCTCCTCCTGACCATGAGGAGGACTTCTCAGTGGAGACAGCATCTCAGTCCCAACCTTCCCTGAAGTGATAGACAGATGCTTAAGCCCTAAGTACCACTTAGGACCACACACTTTGCGATGACCTTAAGGGAAGGTGGGATTTGGACAAGGAGAGATGAGTGGTGAGGTATCGTGAATATCATCTCCTGTTCAGAGGCAGAATAATGCAAGGCTGGCGTGGATACGGTAGGAGGGCACATATTTCATACATCCTTAGGCGATCAAATCGACAAGGTCCAGCAATGTACCAGATGTGGGGCTGGGCCTAGCTTATCTGATAGGGCTGGGTTTTGCTTTCTGGTAACTCTCTACTGAAAGGGTGAATTAATAGACCCAGGAAGTCTGATTCTCCAAGGTTGGGGGTGCCCCCTTTCTTTCTGACATCCTAGGCTGGGAGCAACGTTTTAGTGACAACCCTGCCACTAATAATAATTCCTACTTCCACTCATTGAGCCCTTATCATATGCTAGGTACAGTGCCTAGTTCAAGTGTGTGACTTGTGTCCTCCCAAGAATGCCATGAGGTAGCTCTGATACTCCCCATTTACAGAGAGTAAGCCATCCAAGGACACACAGCTAGCAAGCCAGAGTGGGATTCAAACCCAGGTTGTCTGACCCCCAAATCCATGTGCCTAAAACCATTGCATGATGGTGGTATGGCAGGGAGGGGAGCAGAGACCCTGCTCACTTACTTGAGAGGTTGCAAAATCAGGGCAGAGGCTGTGAATGAGCTAAGAAATGGACTTCTTATACTGGCCCCAAAAAGGTGATATGAGGCAGATATGAAGCAGGGTAGGTACAGGACAAGGGGACAAACAATCTTTTATTCTCTGAATGCTGCCCCTTACACACGTATGAACCTATGATTCCAAACATACATGTACATGTGCACACAGGTAACCTTGTGCTACCGAGTCTGTTCTAACTCATAGAGACCCTGTGTACAGCAGAATGAAACACTGCCCAGACCTGTGCCCTCCTCACAATCATTGCTATGTGTGAGTCCATTGGTGCAGCCACTGTGTCAATCCATCCCATTGGAGGCCTTCCTCTTTGTTTTATCAAGCATAATGTCCTTCTCCAGGGACTATTCCCACCTGATAACATGCCCACAGTATGTGAGACGAAGTCTCAGGTAATCATGTTGTTGTTGATAAGTGCCACTGAGTTGATTCCAACTCATGGTGACCCTGTAATAGGTTTTCAAGGATCAGCTTGGTAGGTTTGAACCACTGGCCTTGCAGATAGCAGTCTAGTGCTTATCCTAAGTGCCACATCAGGACCTCATGTTGTTGCTGTTGCTAAATGCTGTTGAGTCAGTTCCAATTCACAGCGACCCTGTATAAGGTTTCTTTGTGCTGACTTTGTGGTTAGAAGTTCAGTGCTTATCCTACAGTGTCAAATCAGGACCCCATGTTGTTGTCAAGTGCTGTTGAATCAGTTTCTGATTCATAGCAACTCTATGATGTTCCCAAGGAGCAACTGGTATGTTTGAACCACCAACCTTGTGGTTAACTTCAGTGCTTATCCTATAGCCCCACAGGAGTAGGACCCTTATCCCCAATTCATCATTTTCTGGGTGTTGTGCCACCCAACGGCTGGGAACCTGGGAAAAGCACTTCTACCAGGCTGTTCCATACCTGATCCTGGCTTCAGACAGGGTCTCCCTTTCTCAGTCCTAACAGGGGGACTGGAATCCCACCAGCCACTCCTTAGAAAGCCTACAAAGGGTCACTAGGAGCCAGAACTGACACGACAGCACTTAACAACAACAACAAGGGCAGAACTGAACTGAACAGATCTGCAGGCCTCCTGCTCTGTCAGAGTTGCTCACAGATCATGTGGCATGGTGTGGTAGAGCAGAGGAGGGTCCACAGTGCTGCTCTGGACACTTAGAGGCATGCTGAAAGAGGAAATCCAACAAAAGACAAATGAAGAAAGTGGAATGAGCACATGGGAGGAATCAGTCAGGTCTGCATGTGTGTTTGCAGTGGGCAGGAGCCAAAGCAGACAGCAGGCTGAGCAAGGAGTCCAGGAGTACCACTAAGACCTGGGGTGGGGGGCTCAGGGAGACACATATCCAGAGGAGTGTGGGTAGATTTAGAAGGTAAA